CACAATTATAACCAAAACAGAACATGTAGCCCAAATGTAAGAGTGTTGTACAGACCAACAGGACAAAATTAAAATAATAATAAATAAATAATAACATTACATTACATTGCATTTAGCTGACGCTTGTATCCAAAGCGACTTACAATAAGTGCATTCGACCAGGAAGATACNGCCAAACATTTCAAGTGCTACTCAACTGGCTTTAGATAAGCCAGTCCTTTATTAGTATATAAGTGCTCTGTTAGTAATTCTATCGCTCGAAGTGGAGTCAGACTCCACTTCGAGCGATAGAATTACTAACAGAGCACTTATATACTAATAAAGGACTGGCTTATCTAAAGCCAGTTGAGTAGCACTTGAAATGTTTGGCTCTATGAAACCTGATGTACTTATATGATTCCGTTTTCTTCAAGGTTGTATCTTCCTGGTCGAATGCACTTATTGTAAGTCGCTTTGGATACAAGCGTCAGCTAAATGCAATGTAGTGTTATTATTTATTTATTATTTATTTTAATTTTGTCCTGTTGGTCTGTACAACACTCTTACATTTGGGCTACATGTTCTGTTTTGGTTATAATTGTGATTTAAATATTGTACGCCTTCAAGTGAAGATCAACTATGTATGGCTTGTCAATTGATTTAGACTAGTAGAGACTAAGCTGAACACTAGTAGAGACTAAGCTGAACACTAGTAGAGACTAAGCTGAACACTAGTAGAGACTAAGCTGAACACTAGTAGAGACTAAGCTGAACACTAGTAGAGACTAAGCTGAACACTAGTAGAGACTAAGCTGAACACTAGTAGAGACTAAGCTGAACACTAGTAGAGACTAAGCTGAACACTAGTAGCTTTGAACTGTTGAACATTTGTAACTGTGATTCCTACTGAAGTGCATTTCTTTCACCATCTTACGTATCCTTGTCTTTGTCCTTGTGCAGGTGAGAGTGCGATGAGGAGAGGTTTCAGAGTGTGAGGCCATGGGCTGCACCTCGGCCAAGCAGGTGTCGGCCGTGCCCAACGATGAGGAGGGACGCGGCAAGGCCTACAGCAACGGCGACCTCTTCAGTGGTCAGTACACACAGATGTTAATAAAAGCTTCATAGCTCTATTTCACTCAGTTAATTGCTCGGCGCTGAACAATTGCCCCGGCTGCCCTCACAATGTATTCGCTTCATTATGGCTCATCGTCCTCTCGCAGACTGTTAAGTTCTCCATTTCAGACAATAACTGTCACCTCTGCAGTTTTTATTGGACTCGTCCATGTTGACAGTTCATGTTAGAGAGAGGAAGTGTGAGAGACTGCGGTGTGAGACGTGTACTCACTCAGGTGGTGTGTATCTTTTTAATATGTTTGTCTTTGGAAGTGAAAAGGAATGGAAAGGGATGAGAGGAGAGAGAGTGAAGTATTCCTTTTTAGAGTTTCCATTCGTGATGATTAAACGAAGTCACAAACCAAGACTATGAGGAGCCTCTGGATTATTCACTGGATTAGATGGACAGGCAGTTAATCAATAATGATTTTAATAATTGATTTGCTGTTAACATTTCTGAAGCAAAAATGCCAAACAGTCTCTGCTTCCTCCTTCATTGCTGCAGGGCTTTCAGAATCAGAATACCTTTGAGTCCCACAGAGGACAGCGAAGGTATCGAGGCACAAATAACATAATATTAAATAAGAGGCATGCACAACATCTTAAAGATAGAAATACCACAAGTCACAATTTACAGAAGTACACATCCAGGTGGATCCTTATCAGTAGAAGTGTTTTAAAAGTGTAGCATGTAGGAAATAGTGTGATAGCAGCCAGGTAACTTTAGTCAAAGTGAAAGTATATACTGCATAAAGTTAGTTATTATTATGTGCTTTTCTCAGTTTTACATAATTTCAATCTGAATATTTATTTAAATAATCTTTTGCTCTTACGGAATGTTCTAATTTCTGGGAAATTGCAATGGTTATTTCAAGTGGTAAATCAGATTCTCCAACTATAGTAGGGCTGCAACTAACCATTATTTAAGATTTAGAGATGAATTAATTGAGTTTTGTTTTAAAATGGCAGAAAATAGGAAAAACATTTTCTCCTAGTTGGCGATTCCTTTTTAATATATTGTTTTGGCAGTCTAAAATCCAAAAGATGTTCAGGTTAAAATAATTTAAATCAGAGAAAAGTAGGAAAAAAACAACATTTGAGAGGCCGGAAACAGAAATGTGGGCAATTTTTGCAAGAAAAAAATGTGTATTTTTCTATTCCTGATAAATGACTGATTCATCAATTAACTAAAACAGTTGGCCATTATTTCTCCTGTAATCGTTGCAGATCCATAAGGGTAGGGAGGATGGGACGACCCCTGTGTCAAAGTGCCAGTGAGCTAGAAACCAAATCCCCCCCCATTGCGCCCTGTGTGGCTCAAAAACTAAAATGAGCTTTGGACAAGAGCGCCTGCCAGACATTTAAGGAATCGATGAATTGTAACAATAATCGTCAGAGTAATCTGTAATGAATGTAATTGTCAGCTCTTTCTAATAACTCGCAGGCTGTTGTGTAATCAGGGAGAGAAATGAAAGTGAAAGCCAGAGAGGGGAGAGATGATGGGTGGAGCGGGGATTAACAGCGATTAAGAATTAGGAGCAACACTGGGCGGATGGACGTGGCAGATGATGATCCACAGGAGGTCTCTCTCCCTCCTCCTCTCTCTCTCCCCCTCCTCTCTCTCTCTCCCCCCTCTGACCCCTCTCCCTGCCTCTCCTCCTGCTTCTCAACCTCTCCCTGCGACCTCTCATTGACTCACTTTGCTCTTGTTCCTTCTATTCAATTCTATTCAAATTCAAATAGCTTTATTGGCATGACCATAATGACACACAGGATGGATGGATAGATAGATAGATTGATAGATAGATAGAGCTTTGTACAATCATGACATCTATACATAACATTTTGAACAAAAATGAGAAAAACATGTTTTCTGATCAGATAAAAAAAATTGGATCGTGAACAAGAAAATTATTTGAATAATACAATTTATATAAACCATTAATAAGTAATACAAATAAAAAGAAGTGAGATGAGAGAACTGATGTCTCTCTGACACGTTTCCCCTCACCCTCCTCCCCCTTTCTCTGCTCAAATGTCTTTTAAGGAGAAACAAAATAAGGAAGCGGCTGAGACGGAGAGAAGGGAGGAGGGGGGCGTTTTTTCCTTGAGAGAGGAAGGCAGACTGACGTCACGCTGCTGCTCTTCTCTTTTTTTCCCCCCTTCTCTCTTCAACTTCTCTGCCTCGGTCAGATCGCCTCTTCCTCCCCCCGACACAAGGCCTCGTTTCTTCCCTTCCTCTTTCTCTCTAGTCTCTCTATTTTGGGTCTCTGCACACTCCTCCCTCTCTTCCTGCCTTCATCCCCCCCGTGTTTCTTCTCCTCGGCTCTCTCCCTCTCTTCCTCCGGCACGACATTAGGTCAGAATCTTTTGTCCTTTAACCTCTCCTCCTCTTTCTTGCCTCCTCTTCCTCCAATCCTATTCCCAATTGTAGTTGTCAGTTAGTTTAAGGGGAATCCAGTCTATTATTTGTGTGTGTGTGTGTGGAGGTGGAAGTGACCTGAATACTGTGGATTAAAGCTAAAACCCCCTAATAACACCCCTTCATGACGCCCGCATTTTTTTCATCTGATCTCAATCCCCTCTTATCTTTGTTTCCTCTTCACTTCCATCCTTCTATCTTTTTATCTCTGCACTATTTCAGTCATGGACAAATGTTTGTTCAGTCATGGCCTACGCGCGTGTAATGGTGTAGCTTGACATAATCCACTTGAAGTCAGTTTACTTGACAAAAGAAGAAATCCACTTTTTAATCCATATGTTTCAACGAAGGTACCATCCACAGAGTTTCTAAATGACATGAATCTATAGTCTGGACTAGGGATGCATACCGGTATCCGGTATTACCGAAATACCGGTTACTGGTGGCTACGGTATACCGTACCGAAATCAGATCCGGTTTCGATACTTTAAAAAAAAAAAAAGTTTTACATTTTAAAAGTGAGTCCGTGGCCCGTGATTTCGGGTGTTATAAATTAGATAGCATAATCGTTTTTCTTCATATTTTATGTATTTTTCATTGTTTGTTCAATACTAGAAAGGCAAGTCCCACAAACGAACTGTGATGGGATTTGTTTTCTCTCACCAGTGAAGGCAAATGTTGATTTTAAAGATGAGAATTGTTTGTTTGTGCAATGCCGAGATCTCATGACCATTATTCTATTATGTATTTGTTCTCTAGTCGAATCTCAGGTTTAACATTAATTATAACGGTGCTATAACGGTCTGTTTGCATTGACAAGATGTGCTATTCACGAGGCACACCTGATGGCGGGTGTTATAAAAGATATTCCATAATCGGTTTTCTTCATATTTTTTATGTATTTTTCATTGTTTGTTCAGTAAAAGGTCCAAGAAGTCCCACAATTGAATTTAATATTCATTTGACATGTTAACTATATCGTAAAGCGCTTCATGGGAGTAATTGTGGGATGATACATTTTCAAAGTATCACGATATGTATCGGTTGAGTATCGGTGTCGTTCAGTGGTATCGGTATCGTAAAAAAGTCAACGATATGCATCCCTAGTTTGGACGCTAC